TATTCCATATTTTTTTTTATATAACATGAAATGTATGGTTGTTTGTCAGCATTACTGTTCTTCAAAGTCAAGCATTTTAAACGTCTTTAATTCATATGGGGAAAATAAATAAAATTAAAAACGACACCTTCTTCAAAACATGTTTTAAAGGAACTTATTTATCTAACGTGATAACACAAATGATACCTTGCTAAAACTGACAAATTCAACTAAGTTGTCATTTATTCACAATATAAAAAGGATAACTAGTTATGTTCTACACATCTGGGCAAAACGTCAACACAAATGATACCTTGATAAAACGGACAAATTTTACGAAGTTGTCATTAATTCAGAATAGAAAAAGTTATACTAGTTATGTTCCACACATGTGGGCAGATATTTTAATAAACCAATCACGAAGGGCTGTAACTCTGTATATCATGCAGCGCAAAAATTCAGTACGAGGCATCATGTCATTGCAAGAGGTACTGCACACACACAAAAAGGGCGACTGTAGACAACAAAGCTTACGATGTGTAAACTATGCTCCGGACAACATAACGTCCGAGCGGACGGACGGACAGCGTGAAAATCCGTTCAGATATTACAGATATGGGGAAATGTTATCTTAAGCAGCAGTGACACCTTGCTGGATAGTGTTGCAAAATTTCCAATCCGTTTGACTCCGTTCTCATGCGTTTCCTGTCCGTAACCCGTACAGTGGTGTCCGTCACATTAGATGATAATTGTTTTGCATTCTTATGGTTAAGGTGCGGTCATTATGCCTTTTTATCTGCTCCAACGCCGTTCATAAGAGCCTCGAATGGCAACAAGGATGATTTTCGACCACCAGATAACGTTTCTGTCCATCGGGCGTCCGCTTACGCCATCACACAAGGTATAACAACTAATAATAATAAACGTAGCATCGTTTCACACTTACCACAACAAGCATGCATCTGTTTTTGCAGCAAGCTCCGAACGCGCCCAAACCTGCCACCAATAGAATAAAAGCTCCGAGTATGATCAATGTCAACGAGAGGCCATTTGCAGCATTTCCAAAGGTCAGACCGCCTAAGGTCACCTGGTTGAGGAGGGGCATGACCTTGTCATTAACAATGTCAACGTCCACCTGGACAAGGATTCCGGGAATCATCAAACCGAGGCCAAGCAACTACAAAAACGAAACAGAGTCTAATATGAAGGTCAAGGCCATTCAATACTAATCGTTTGGACAATTTAGAGGTTGTCAATGCTTGTAAAACAATAAACGTCTTAGTGTAATGAAATCAAGTATTATGTATAACTTTCTTAATTGTAAATATTCTCAAATTAACAATGTCCACAAGATTTCAGGCTGGCGAAGAAATTGCCTTTGTCAATAAAAGAAACACTTTTCTTAGAAACCAGTCGAAAATAACTTAAGAGGGACATATTGTAATATATACATATTTTTCATTCATATTCTGATTCAAGACTGTTCTTGGACGTACAAAGTACACGTACATGTACGTTACATAGAGGTCATGTCGGGATAAAATCCATTGCGAATGGCATTTGGCAAAGTAGTAAAAAGCTAGAAAATGAGCTTTGGGTTGGTTTTATAGGGATAATGTTCTATTTATAGAGGAGGTCATGATCACACATCTGTAGATTAGTTCTGCAGGCGATAGGTTGGTGCATTTGCCTCCTTGTGAAAAAACGAGAATCTGGTTCTGACTTTATAGTGCTATCCGATTAAAATACGAAGGCATCCAGTATGGTATTTCATCCTATCTTAAACGCTAAATCTTAAGCAGGGAAAGACAGCTACTGATTTAGGGACTTTGGTACGTTTCAAAGTTCAAGGTTGTCACTTTCCGAAGGTAAATGTTGTTCATTACCAAAATCAAGGATTTTAATTTATCAAAGGCCAATGTTTTTACTTTCCAAACGACAATAACGGTTCTTAGCAAATGCCTCTGATGACACTTATCAAAGCGGCAAAGATGGAGAATATCAAAGGTCAAAGTTGTTAATGTCAAAGGTCAAAGGCAGTAGTTTTCTAAGCTAAAGGTCAGTAATAGTTCCTGAGTTCAAGGGTCGATACTTACCATAAAGATTATGTTGATGACGATAAGGAACAGCATCCCAACCTTTCCAGAACACTCGAGACCCATGATGACTTCCGGTTTCTGTACACTTGGTCAATATGAGGAAATCTGGAAACAGATCAGATAAAAAAAAAACAAGAATGAGCTGTTATGTTAACAAAAGAATTAATTTGGCCATACGTCCCACAGCTTCAACTTTTTAAAAAGTACGTTATCGACTGTATAATCATAAAAGTATGACAGCTTTGATCGGATATATATGCAAAATCACCCCCCAAAAAATCAAGGGAGGTAACTATGGCATATATGACGGCAAAATATGCAAGATTACTTCAAGATAAATTCAGTTTGATGAACCGCTTTACAATATTTTTTTTGTCCTCCTGAGGACAAATGTTCACTATTTTACCTTCTGATAAAAACAGGACAAAAGTATATTTTACAATAGCAGTGTAAAACTGTTATGTCGCATCTATTTGATTTCGTAAGTACATGTATATCCCATCTTGACAAAACATTAGTGCTCATATTACAGAACAAAAAACTTCACACAATATTTTTTATTTTAGTGTAAATTAATTTACGAAATTCTTTTTTAAAGTCAAGTTTGTCCAGTTAATAATACCATTCGGCTGTAAGAAGTGAAAACCCATAGGAGGCCCCATTTGAGTTAGTGTATGGCGTCATGTAAGAAGAGTTTGTATTTCAAGACCAGGAAGTGCTGCCCATACGTCGAATGACTCTGTATTCCAAAAATAGGTTAATTCTATAATTACCCAACCCAGTCTTAAATTCCTTATGCACTGTACCACAACCGAAGGTCATCTGTGTATGTGAGCTGGAAGCGGGTTTTTCTGTTCATTTGCCTCCTTGTAATAGCACGTATTTAATGCCGATTTTATAATGCTACAGCAAGCACAATGTGTTGGGGTCCCGCGCTCGACTCCTGCCTACATACAATGCTACAGCAAGCACAATGTTTTGATCCCGCGCGACCCCTGTTATATATGCGTGCAGGTGTGTATGTGTGCTGGAAGTGGGGTGAACTGATACCGACTTTATTGTGCTACAGCCAGTGGTTGTGGAGGCATTCAATCAAACACATCTATTACACTAAGAAGGAATAATTTCCCTGTAGACTATTTAGTAAATAATTCACAAAGTTCTATTATGCAGAGGTAACGTGGAGTACACAACCGATATAAACTACACATAAAATAGTTTCACTACCTACAATGTATTGAAGCAATCACTTGTAATCAGGGCTTCATGCATGGTTAGCTTGACGATGTGGCATAATATAATTTTAACATACGTTTTCGGTCTTCGCACTAGAGGGAATTTCCCTTTAGCCCAGTGGCAGAGCGTCCGACTAAATAAGAAGCCTGGGAGCACGGTGGAAGCACACAACTCTAGATCTCTTCCTGTTACAACGGGATATTTGGAGTAGATTTAACTGAGCGATGCATATGGATAACAGAAATCAAGAGATTTCAGTTGCATGTATTATGAATCAATTTAAGAATATTCCAGTAAATAAAACCGGAAGTAAAATACTTATTCCTCATCTCCATTATGTATGCTATTGATACTCTGTACTGAAGCCTCTAGGTGGTGGAGGAAAGCCGGAGTTCCTGGAGAAAACCCACCGATCTACGGCCAGTACATAGCGACTGCCCCACATTGGCCTCGAATCAATTCAGGACCCTAATCCCACTGCACTGTTCTTTTTCCTATATACAGCTACCTCCCTGTGACTTCCGTTTGGCTATAATAGTACCACAGTTGTGCCATCAGACTTTCGTTGACCAGGTATCACAGTCGGTAAGAGCGCTAGTACAACATTATGAAGTACATGGTTCGAATCCCGGTCTAGCCCCGCTGACTGTTTACACTCAAAAAACTATTGTTGATTATGTTTTGTTAATTTCGTCTTTTATTATTTCTCATGAAAGTCCCTGGACGCAAGAAGCTATAACCTTTCCGGAAAAATAGTTTCCAATACATTTTGACATCGGTATGGGAATAAATGCATTTTATATATGGAAATCGCACTGGACCTGCCTTATCAAGCGCCTACTACGGGACATAAGTCACCTAGCTACCTGCGTGATACCTCCACATTATGGGCATATTGTCAGTGTTCCGTTTAGATATTCCCTTCCTTCTCCCATGATAACATTCTTATGATTGTCCTCATCCCTAGAGATAGGTCCAAACAAGCATCTTGTAGTCTGAGTTATCATGCCTCTGAGTTTTTCTGTAGGCTTGATCTAACGAAAACTTCGGTATCAATAATGTTATGAAATCGATTAACCTATGTACATGTAGTATTAGAACTGTATGGGATCATGGATTTTTGAGAAATCAAAATTTAATAAAATGCTACTAAAGTACATTGTAGTTATTTTCCTTTGATATGATTCCCAGTTTGGGTAAAAAAATATTTAATTGAAATAAAATTTACTTAGCTCATTTTAATTTCATTCATTCATTCTTCGTTTATTTACTCATTCATTCGTTCATCCGTCCATTAAATTACTTTTGAGAAGTATTAAGGAAGGAAGATATAACAAGATCTTAATGGGATGCGCGTGTTACTCTTAGTAAACATTGAATGATTAATATGAGGATTTACCATTGTGTCCGGGTATAAAATTCTATTGATTTTATCTACGTTATATATTGATAATTTTCGTTTTACAACCATGGTATTGTTCTTCCATTCCTTCGTCTCTCCTCACCGACTTCCGGTCAATAAGCTATACGCATTATACATCAATACACACATGGTCACACCCGCCCTTTACAGGTAAACTATATTATACCCGAGTTCGTGTAGTTTGTCTGCCTGATTTAGCCCGGGAACATAGCAACATCACAAATATTGACGCGGAAGCGTCATATCTTGACCACGTGAGAATGATTTCTAGCGCACGTCATTGTCATGTGCAACTTACTTATTTAGAAACACACGACATTACGGAGTAAATGATTTTATCTTTTCCGAGATGACTAAAGTACTAGGGAATTGTACATGTACATTGTATGTTGAGATTTAAATGGTCAGTAGAGTATTTATTTTCAATACAAAGCGAGATAATTGTGCACTCAGGGCAAAGCCAGAGCAGAGTTGTTTCATTACCTCATACATCCCTGAAGACACATTTGAACTCTTCCAATTCAAAGGTTGGA